ACCACACAGAGGATTGAGGGAAACGGGGCGCCCCCCCTACACACACACACACACACACACACACACACACACACACACACACACACACACACACACACAGAGACACACACACACACTTGCTTCTTTCCCTCTGCTAGTTTGCAATTAGTAGCCTGGCAACCGCCTGCATGAGTTTTCTTACACTGGAGTCTTTGTTTATCAAGCTGCCCTTTTGCAGAGCTTTTTCTAGGAAAGGTTGCTAGACCCCAGATAAATAAAGAGACTCTGTGTGTGTGTGTGTGTGTGTGTGTGTGTGTGTGTGTGTGTGTGTGTGTGTGTGTGTGTGTGTAATGGGGGAGCACCGTTTCCTTCAAGATCCTCTGAGGTTCATGCTGGGCAGTTTAAGAGCTCCATGGAGTCAAACAGCTGGATGAGCCCAAAGCCTGTCCCTTCCCCCAGCAGCTGGGATCCCCCTGAGCAATCAGTTCCCGGTTGACATCTCAGGGCTGTCCCCCTCCCCCCCCCATGCCATTCATGCCCTCTTAGAAGCTGCCAGGCCTTTTCCAAGCTCAACTTTGGATCCTCCCACTTGCACACCTGGCTGCTGTTTATCAGCACAACACCTGCACCCCCCCCAAGTTATTCGCTCAGTCCTACCTTTTCTGATCCCCCCCCCCGTAGCTCCCCCTGGATGCGCGCACATCCCCCCCCCTCAGAGCTATGAAAAACTGCATGGATGGAATCAACCCCGCAGGGCTACTGTTCTCAGAAAAGACCCGGGACCTGCCCAGGGCCACTGACACCACGTTGGCCCCAAGGAAGGAGACGGCCAGGAAGCTGGGAAGGAGCCCCCTGGGGCAGGAGCTGCGTATGGCCAAGGAGATGGAGCCGGGGGGGGGGGTGTTCAATTGATCTCCATCTACAGACCTCAGCACCTTATCAGCTCTTTCTGGGGGTCTTTCAGAGCGCGGGGAGCTCTGTTGCTGCCCACAGAGCAGCTGCCTTGGGCCGTTGAGCCCCTGCTCCTTTCTCCAAGGTGGGGGAGGGGAGGGGGGACTCTCCACCAGGTGGATCCCATCTTTGCCCAGCCCAAGGTACCTTCTCTGGGAGTCAAGCAGGCAGACGGGGGAATTGCTGCGGCTTCCATGCTTGTCTTCCAGACTTTTGTCTCTAGGGAGAACATCTTGGAGGGGGGGGGGAGCCTCTGGAAGGCCTCAGGCTTCCTCATTTTGTGGGGGGGGGGCTCTGGGGCTTTCCAGAAGAAAGTGCCCAGGAGGAGCCTCTCGGCCCAAGGAGTTTCCCTTCCCTCAAGGGAAGAGTCAGCTGCTCTGGCGGTTGGGAGAAGCCCCTCCACCTTTTGTGAGGGCATTTCAGGAAGAGATTTCCTTTGCCGAGAAGGGTGGAAGTGTGGTTGGGTCCCCCCAGGGAGCTCCGGAGAATGAGGCTATTCAGAAGACAGATTTATGCCTCGGCCTCCCCCTCAGAAATACTGCGGTTTCCGCAGCTGATGGATGACTTCCTCTGCTGGTTTCACTTGCCCCTCGAGGCCATCAAGGAAGGAAACAAGGCCTCCTCCTCCCCCCCCCCTCGCAGGATGAGGCCATTCAGCTAAGATGGGAGGAAGGCTGGTGAACCAGCCCAGGTCTTCCCTTCTGCTCCACCCTCGGGCCTGAAGGGGCAACAGTCAGCCAGGGGTGGCTTCCCCACCTTTCACAGATGCGCCCAAACCTCCCACTTTAGAACCAGGTAAATGTTTTCACGTTCTCATTTGGGGGGGGGTCTTCGCTCCAGTCCTGGGGGTGCAACTCTGGAATCACCCAGTTAGATGGGCCGAGATTCAAGTTGACCCCAAAGGATTCTCTTCCGTGATTTAGGAACCAGAGACAGGTGTGCATATTTAAATAAAATTCCACTTTATTAAAAAAAAAAAAGCCCACAGAGAATAAATAAATAAATAGATCTTGGGGTGTCTGTGAGTTTTGTCAGGTGGCTAAAATCTGCATCAGGGGCACTTCGCTCTCCCCCAGAACCAGGTCCCTCTTCATGTTGCCCCCTTTGTTCAAGGCCTTCATGCGGACGGAGAGCCGCCACAGGTGGTCCTCGGAGACCCCCACGAAGAAGAAATCCTCGTTGAAGATGGGGTTGCGGCTCCTCTTGATGACGGTGCTGCGCTGCTTCTGGACCTTCCCCGGCAGGAGCGAGAAGGTGATGCAGCAGTTGATGCTCTTGGGCTCGACCTCCCGGTAGAGACCCTCCACGCTGATCAGACGGATGCGCAGACGCTGGTTGGCGGAGCAGTGCTCGCAGGAGAGGCGCAGCAGCCCCCCCTTGTCCATCACCACGGTGGCTTCCCTGCCCAGCCGCTCCGGCCCGCAGGGGTAGTCCAGGGGGAAGGCAGGCAGCGGGAGCAGGCTGGAGGCCAGCGGGGGCAGAGGGCTCTCCGAAGAGCGCCGGGGAGACACGGGGCTGCTGTCCGTGGAGCTGCCCTCGTCCAAAGACAGGGAGCCGGCCCGCGTGATGCCGGACAGCCTCCGGCCCCTCCAGGGTTTGCCCAGCAGCCGCTCCTGGCTCCGGGCTTTTAGGAGGCAGCTGGGCCGCGTGGGGGACCTGCCCAGCAGGGGTGAGCCGAAGGGCGAGGACTCGCTGGAGGAGGCCGTGTCGCTGTCCCAGGCGCCTTGCCTGCTGAAGAGGTGCCGGCGGATGGTCACCGGGCTGGAGGCCATCTCCCTGCCACCGTAGCTGCTGGAGCGAGAGCGGGGCAAGGCCAGGGAGCTGCCGGAGCCCTCCTCGCTGTGGAAGATGGACTCTTTCCTCCGCGTGTGGGGGCTCTCCAGCAGCACGCAGAAGCCGTAGGAGGTCTGGGTCCTGGGCACGTGGGGCAGGGAGAGGGCGGCCTGCGACTGGGGGTCCGAGTTGGTGCCGCCCTGCTCCGACTCCTGCAGCTCCTCCACGCTCTCCACCTGGATGAGGTGGGGCGGGAAGGGGCCGAGGCCGGGGGAGGCCGCCTCCTGCAGGCCCGGCTCAGTCAGGCTGCGGCGGGGCTGGAAGGCAGGGCCGGGGCTCTTGGGCGGCGGAGGGCTGCTCAGCCGCGGAGGGATGCAGAACTCCGGGATGCGGTCCGGCGTCAGGATGTTGGGGAAGGCGAGGGCGGCCGCCTGGCCCTTCTCGGAGGGCAGCGCCAGGAACCAGGGGCTCAGCAGGCCGGCTTCTCCGGGGGACGCGCGCATCTTCTCCAGGAACCACATCGGCGCCAGGAAACGCTGCTGCCTGCGGGGAGGAGGAGGAGGAAGAGAAGGTTAGGAAGAGCTCAAAGGCGGCTGCCGGGAAGCGCTGCCGAGCCGCCTTGCATGGCGCCGCTGCCCTCCGCCCCCACCTGCCGGGGCTGCTCCCGAGCCGAGGGCCCCCCGCCGCCCCTGCCCGGGAGGGAAGCGCTCAGCCTCTCCGGGGGACGCCGCTCGCCTCCTGCCTGGCCTCGGGAGGGAGGATGAGCAGGGGCGGCTGGGGCGGCGAGAGGAGGCAGCGCAGCCTGCGGGGCCCGGGGAGAGACGGGGAGAGCCGGGGCGCAGCTACCTGGCTCGCTCTCCGAACCGCCGCCGCTTCCCAGGCGCTGGAGCGTCTTTCTCGGGGCTGCCGGTGGCTCTGCAGTGCTCTCNGCGCCACCTCGGCTCCTTCTTCCTTGAACCTTGGAGTTGAAGGAGTTGACCTTCTTCTTTGGAACCTTGGAGTGGAGAAAGGCAGTGCCTGGCACTGGTCCCCATGTTTGCCTTCCCGTGTTTCATACTGAGAATATTTTCCATTCGGGAGTTCAAGCACCAACTTGACTGGCCGACAAGAACACTCTTTTGGCCACTCTCTGACCCTGGTGGCACTTCAGTTGTTCCTAGAAAACATGGGCTGAAACACGTGAGGAAGGCCTGGCCATCTGGATCCCTCCCCCTGTTGGACAACAAGCAACGATTTGACTCAAAAGACTTAGAAGATAAAGTACTATAATGCAAATATTAACCGGTATTTTCAAAGGATCTTGATATTTCTCCATCAACTGGCATCTCAAGAGGGCAGCTGATAACTGTGCCATTCAAAAACCCCTTTAATCAAGAGTCAAGTACTTAAACAAAAACCTCAACCACGTGCTCAGAAATGGACCTGCACGAAGGTGATGTTTGTTTACAGCGAGAACATTTAGTGGAAATATAAATAAGGAGGGTTGGCTGGAGTCATTATTAGGCTGGTCCCTTATCAATCACAGCAGTGGCTGCCCTCAAGCAGAGCTCCCTCCTGTTTACGGCTGGTTAAGTGATTGAAACAGAGCCTTGAACGACGGTTGGAGCTCCACAGGGAGCAGGCAGAGGTCAACTGAGAGCTCCAAGGCTGCCCTTTGGCCAAGGTTGAAGGGTTGAGCCCAAGTCTGGACTTAAGCTTAAGAAGCATCTCAAGCTCAAGAAGGAGGCAGAAGCCCTCCAATGCTCCTTAGACAAGGGCCCTCACCAAGCATCTTCTGAGCAAGGTCTCTACAGGCCCCTTCCCAGTTAACGGAGGATTGCAGGAGTCTCGGTCTTCTGAAGTCCTGCTTTGGTGGCTGTTCCATGAGGGCAGTGAGCCTGTCTTGATTCCTAACTGGGCATGTTTGCCCAGCGGATGCCCCTGAGAGGCTCTGCTGGCTGGGCTCTGTGAGATCCGAAGGGTCTGGAGGGCAGCAGCTGCAGAGGGGGTTGTAGGAAGTGGAAAGGGAGCCCACCCAACGCCTCTGACTTCATCTGCTTCGGGTGAACCCCGTGACCGTCTCCCTGCCAAACTGAGTTAAGTAGTCAGCCGGTCCCAGAGGCCGGACTAATTAGATTTCTGCAAGGGAGACGTGCGGGATTAGCATAAGCCACTGCAGCCATTTTTGACTCTGCACATGAGCGCAAGGCCCCCGTCTTATCTCGGTGTTCCGCCTGCCAGGCTCTGGGCCACAGCAGCCAGCAGCGCCTGGCATAATTATATTAAGTGGAAACACAAAGAATCAAGCCTGATTAGGCATCGCTTGAATAGTTCACATGCAGATCTCTTGGGCAACCCAGAAGGAGGTGCGTTTTTTTTTCCACCCGGATCTTATCAGCCCAGCTTTCCATTGATTTAATATCTCCGTGTTATGAGCCCATGATTGAGAAATGCAAATCTCCACTTCTGGAAAGGCCGCCTTGTTTTCCTTCCTCCCCCGCCTCGATGAAATTTAATGAGGATCAGAGGGTGGGAAGAGTCACAGGGACTTTCCCGGGAAACGTTGGCCAACGGGGGACCGTGGTTTCCGTGAAGCTCTTCAGATGGAGAGGGCCAATGGCGAGAAAAAGGGGGGGCGGATGTTCCTATGCTGCTTGGGAAAAGGAGGGGGCTCTTTTGAGGGCCTACTCTGAAGCGTGCCTCCCCCTCCCCTTTGGGACTCCCCTTTGCTGGGAAGAAGACGCACAGAGAGCAACAAGTTGCGAAAGACTAGACCAGTGTTTCTCAACCTTGGCAGCTTGAAGATGTCCGGACTTCAACTCCCAGAATTCCCCAGCCAGC